CCTCCACCCCTGTCCCCGAGGACACGCAGTTCCCTCCTAAAACATGGCCCCGCCGCCCCTTGCCCGTTTCTGCCTCCATTGAGGACGATGTTGACACCTCCCACCACCCCAGCCCCAGAAACAGGACAAACCCCCAACTCCGCTTCTACCCTCTTCGAGACATTCACCCCCCTCCTTGTGAATCCCCTGCAGGATAGCGCTCCCTATCCACCCCACTCTCCCAATTCTACCCTTCTAAAATAATCGATCCAGCCCAGGAATAAACTCGGAATTTTCTTCTGAAAAGGACCCATTGAAAAGGGCACAGGGCAGCAGTAAAGATTATTACAATTATTCCCCTTCCCCTTGCGCCCAATGAACAGATGACTACTCCCACCAATTTAGATAACAGAAAGTAATTATCAGAAAAACTATCAGGATTTAAGCTATGATAGTAAAAAAAAAGTAAAACTCAGGATTTAATAAAGAATATAGTCAAGGAACAAAATTACGTAATTATCGTGATGATTCCTGCAAATATGCTAACGATTCAGAACAGATGATGTTTGCGTGTCTTTCCCATCTGTTGTCATTTTGCAGTTTCAGGCACCACTACCACTGCAGAGAGTGTTTGAGTCAAAAAAAAAAAAAAAGAAAAAGAAAAGGTTAACACCGTTGTCTTCGCTGGTTAGGTTGTAGTTTCACATGTGAGCATCTTACCCCACAGCATACCTTTCAAATTTGCGGAATATACATTCATAGTATGACTTTAGTACAAACTGTTTCATAGTTGTCAGATTGTTCTCAGCTGAAGCCAGGTAATGGCCCTGGTATCTCAAATCATTTCTCGAATCTTTTGTATAATTCTGTATGGGACGCTGGGCCCGGTTCCCAGCACGTGTTGCTCCCCACGAATAGATTGGAGCTCATGACTTTACTACACAGTAGTAGTATTCTGGCAGGCACCTTCTAGACATTCATCCTGTTACTGGTCTATGGTTCATGTTGTACTTTATCATATAAGGGACGCTGGACCTGTTTTCCAGCAGGTGCTGCTCCCCACCAATAGATGGAGCCTCTCCCCAGGTGCTAGTGAGGTATGAGCACAACAGAATCACTAGCACTGCAGTATGACTTTACTACACTGTGGGTTGGTTATTCTGTGGACAACCGGCAAAATGGAGGTAATTCTCTGAGGGACTAGGCTATTTTTCCAGGCGCCTGGGCACCCGACTTCTGCCCGGGTACACACCCAAGTGCCCGGACGGGCATGACCCCTGGGGTCTAGTCCCACCTACAGCGTTGAGTTTTCTCAACGCGGAGCTTTCTATCACGTGTGGCATGGTGGGACGGAGCTCTGCCGTTGATGTATTGCGAATCTAACGGTACCAAAATACAGGAGAATAACCTATTAGATTTAGTCATTTTGTAGAATTTTTTTTTGACGTGAAATCCGTTTTGTAGTATGCGTTGGCCCTTTTGGTTTGGGCGGGAAGCCATTTTCCGTTGAGAAAACTACCCTACCCAGGGTAGGGTACATTTCTCAACTTCAGTGCCTTTCCTTTTTTTTGTTTTTTTAGTCCTCATTGCATCCTGAAACGGAGGAACTCTGACAGCTGTGTTTGTCTGTCTGGCATCAAACTCGTTTCCTTCTTTGGGCAATGAATGCATTTGGCCATCCACGTCGTCCCTGTCCATTTTACAAATGGTGACCTCCTGTCCCCTCACCACGGGGAGTATCCTTTTTTCACGGAGAAGTTCACTCCGACATGTTTCATTTCTCCCAGTTACGTTATAAAAAATAAGGAGAAAAGCTGTTTCTAGCGTTTTTTTCAGTTTTTTTATTTGTTGTTTCGAATTTATTAATGTCGACAGGGCGTCACACCGTTGAGTTTTCTAAACTCAACAACCGTAGGTGGGACCAGACCCCTGGACAGGGTTCCGGACAGCCCCAGTGCAAAAAAAAAAAAAAAAAAAAAAAAAAAACACTGAAAAAGCATATACAAACGACTTTGGGCTGAGGGTCACAGTATAGTTCCTCACAGAATCGGAGATAAAAAAGAAAATAACAGAATCACGCGAAGGCACCCCCCTTTAGACCCCTTCAGCCCCTCTCAAACCAATTGATACCCCCCTCCCCCCCCCTTGACAGCCAACTCGCAAAAAACGAAATGAACCCGGATTTGGGGTCCTCTGGCATAGGGCAGAAAACCAAGTTTTTTTTCTTTTCTTTGTTTTGTTTGTTTGTTTGAACGGGTGGTGCCCGGCCGGGCAGGACCGGCCCGACGTGAGAATCTTCCTATCTGAGGAATATACATTCATACCATTCCATGGTATGACTTTATTACGATGTGGGTGGGCTTCTGGAGGGAGGCTGTTTAAACCAGCAGTCAGATTTGTGGCTTGCCCATTGCCGCAACGTTTGGGGGTCCGCAACCAGAGCAGAATGGCGGGCACCCCGAGCCAAAATAAGCCCCACACCAGTTCGTTTTTACTTGGCGCGCAGGGACAGGGTGTTTGGAGCCTCGGACAAGTGCCTCGGTA